TTTTGCAGTATCCTTCCCCTGCCACGCCCACCAAGCCACGCCCACAGAAGCGGTAGTAAAAAAAATTGAATCCCACCGCTGGTCCAATAGTCAAGAGTTATACTACAGAGATGTGTTTGGAGGAATGTATACGTTTACCAATATTAATTCAAACTCCCCGTATCTGAATTTCACAATTAGAAAATATGAAAACTTCTCTTCATTATATAGTTTCTGCCCCGTCATTCAAATTCTTGTTTAATAATGATACATAGTCCACCGGAGGGTTGCCCCTTATTTTTTATTTTTCGGGCAGGGGGAAGCCCATCCCTGAAATCCTGGAAGTTGCACTTAGTTCGTCCTCTTCAGTTAGCCAGGTTTCCTGGATGGTTATTACGTCAAATTTAGATAGGAAACTCACTAGTTCACTGTCAACCACTTTTTTTTTTTCCAGCCAGCTATGTTCCAAGTCACGATTTGTATAAGACTCCCGTAAGCATGGTATTCTGACTGGGTTGGTTAACTAGAGAATGAGGTTACTGAACGCCAGCTTGTTTTTGGAGCTGGGTCAATATTAACTATGCTTTAATGGTAGGGCGTCCTAGAGGTGGAACTGTCACCTCACAGTCAGGAGGCTGTGAGTTCAATCCCTAGGTAGAGGGAAATGTTTCTTTCTCTGGGCACACTGAGAATATATCTGCTGAATAAAAAAAAAACACCTCTGCATTGGTGACAGGAAGGGCATCCAGCCAGTAAACACTCTGCTCCGTTCAGGTGCCTAGACTCCACCCCACGAGGGATTATGGGGTCTTTAAAAGAGGAGGAAGATGATCAATATTAACTATGCTTCCCGTGTAAACACAATTATTGTAGAATTCAATATTCCTCATAAGTCGTTGTGGTTGCTCTACTATATCTTGATTGTTAGCTATTGTAGCTACCCTTGTCCTGACTTTCACTCTGCTTGGAAACTAAGGAGCTTCAGGCCTGATTTAATACCTGAATGGGAAATTATTAGATAATCCCAAAGGTGCTTTTTCAAGAGGCAACTGAACTTTCTTTGCTTTTCCGTGAAGACGTTTCACTCAGGAGTGGGATTCAAAAATCCCAGCAACCAGTTCGCTACCCGGTTGCTGGGTGGGTGGGGCCATGGTGGCCATGGTGAAACTTCCTGTTTCCGTCTTCCAGTGAGCCTCCAGAGGCCTCTGGGAGGGCGAAAACAGCCTCCCCAGCCTCTGGAGGCCCAGCGGAAGCTGGAAATAGGCCCGTTTTGCAACTTCCGTTTTTTCCGGAAAGGCCGTTTTTCACCCTCCCAAGGGTCCGGAGGCCTCTCTAGGGCGTCTGGAAGGTCAAAAATGGCCTCCTCGGGCTCTGCAGGCGCTGCGGAAGCTGGAAATAGGCCTGTTTCTGGACTTCCAGAAGGCCCCGTTTTCCCCCTCCCAGAGGCTCCGCGCAGACCCTCCATCAAAAATGGGCCAGATGGGGACTCCTGGGAGGGGAGGGGGGAAGAGGAGGGGCGGGGCCAGCCGGTCAGTTAAAATACTGGTTCGGCGAACCGGCTGTAACTTTAACATCCGATTCGCCCCAACCGGTCCGAACCGGGAGAATCTCTCCCCTGGTTTCACTTCCCATTCAAAGCTTGAGGAAATAGAAAAACGGTTACGTCACCAAGAGTTGGATTCCCTCCTGAAGAAAACTTCACCTTGAAAATGATCTCAAGGGTAGGAGGATTTTTAAGAAGGTGCGATCCTCCTTTTTTAACACTTTTTTTTCATAATCATGAAAAAACATTAACAAGGATTTCTGCTATGATGCCAAAAAAACAGGAGGTTAATGCTGCAAGGTAAAATATCTTTTTAATAAATGTATTTGTAGCACATCATACCATATGAAAGGTACACGTTAAAAATAGACAGTTATACATGGGATGTTCCGTAGCAGGGAGACACCAGACACACACACACACACACACACACACACACACAAATTTAGTATAACTCACTTAATGCCCTTTCCATCTTGCTCACAAAAAATAAGAAAATGGTTTAAATGTCCCAAGGCAACACTGGAGAGTGAGTATAAAGGGAAAATAGTCATGTAAGAGAACAGGAAAACAGACCCCTGGTCTGTTTTACATGCGTATTGATATGTGTCCAGCAACTACAGTGGTGGTTATTCTGAAATTTCCATGATATCCAATGTGTTCCCGACCTTAATTTCCATTTTTCACAGCCTCTGTTGTATAACCTTTATTTGAGCTCCTTCACATAATCAAAGCTATGTTTTCTTTGGCCTAATTAAAGAAGCCAGATAATTTCTTCACCTCTTGGTGGCCTGGCATATCTTCCTTCCTTCCAACATTTTAGATTTTCCCAGATCGACCTCAGGGATATGGCTTATCTGAACCAATTTGCTGGATGGCTAACAACGGCTGTAGGGACAGGCTCCATTTCAGTTAACATTCTCATTTTGTTGCAGGAACTGGGTTTGCCTAATTTAGAGAAAAGAAGGATTAGGGTGGACATGATAGCAGGATTCTAGTATTTGAGAGGCTGCCACAAAGAAGAGGGGAGGTCAAATTATTCTCCAAAGCACCACAGGGCAGGACAAGAAATAATGGTTGGAAACTAATCAAGGAGAGAAATATCCTGGAATTAAGGAGAAACTTCCATGAACTTGATGAAGCGACCACAATTTCTGAAGGCAACTTCTGTTCCGCTGGTTAATTGTCCTCCCTGTTAGGAAGTTTCTCCTTAATTCAGGTTGCTTCTCTCCTTGATTAGCTTCCAACCATTGTTCCTTGTCTTTCCTTGTGGTGCTTTGAAAAATAATAAGAATATTGCTACGATGTCACCCCTAATTCTATGTCTATGATTGGTTGTCCCAAAGGTGCTTTTCCAAAAACTGGACTGGACTTTTGGGAGTTTTTTTTTCCCCTTGAGAATGTTTCGCTCTTCATCCAACTTCTTCAGGACCGAAGACACTTCTTGAATGGGAAACAAAATGTTTTCAAGGGGAAAAATAAACCCCAAGAAAGTGCAGTTGCCTTTTGGAAAAAGCACCTCTGGGACCATAAAAACACTAGTGAATCTTACAAAAACGTGGGACAAGATTTGCTACGAAACGATGTGGTCGGGCTTAGTTTTGGGGGAGGAAAATAAGGGGGGGGGGAATTCTGCCTCTACCTACCAGCATCCATCGGTATTCACCTGGCTAGCATTCTGTCAGTGTGTTTGGAAAGTGAAACAGTATTTGCCGTATGAGCGAGGAGACAGGAAGGAGCCTGGGTGTGGCTTAGCTCAACTGTTCTGTACTAAAGCTGTTTGGTGCTGTGAAAGTGAAACTGAAACTCCTCTCCTCTGCTTGTGTCTTGCATTTAGAACAGATTTCTTTTCAGGTGAGGAGGGTGAGTAGAACTCCTTAGCATCAGAGCATGTTAATAATAATATATGAAATACTAATGCTCTGATGGTCATTTCAAAAAAACCTTTCTTAGCAAGCACCTAGAAGCCAAGAGGAACTTACATGCCAAATTTCAAGTTTGTAGGCTTTATGGTTCTGAAGATTTTGTGATGACGCGTGGGTGCTTTTTCACTTATCTATATATAGTTTATAGTCAAATCAGTTCCTTGTTCCGCCACTGCTCTGAAGCGAAGCTACATTAAATTGTTGTAGAAAAATGCAGTTACGGTGAGGCACTTGGGAACTTAATTGTTTATTCCCCAAACATTACACTATTTGCTTTCCCAAATGGCAATTACATTTTTTTTATGTTTGCCTTCCATTATCTTCATGCGGTTAATTTGGAGGCACTGAAGCCTAGGTGCAAAATTAATCAGGGAAGAAAATTATGGCTGAATTTTACCCTTCCTCTTATGTAGGGGTCTTCAAACTTGACAGCTTTAAGACTTGTGGACTTCAACTCCCAGCATTCCTCCTCCAGTCATGTTAGCTCAGGAATTCTGGGAGTTGAAGGCCACAAGTCTTAAAGTTGCCAAGTGTGAACACCCTTGCTCTTATGGGTTATTTTGTCACACATTATCTCAATATGGCTCTGGGTTTCTTGAGCTGGCCTTAGACGAATCCTTCAGGGGAGACCTTTGATCCAGGAGTGTGCTGTTCACCTCCTATCTCCCCCAGCTGTTTTTGTAGAAGTAATAACAGAATAACAGAGTTGGAAGCAAGGATTCTACCGGTTTGGACCGGTTCTGTAGAACAGGTTGTTACGATTCTGCGCAGTTCGGAGAAGCAGCAAATTGTGCCCCTGGCTGGCCCCGTCCCTCCCCACCTGCCCCTTCCCTCCCAATCAGTCCTTATCACGCATGCGCAACATTGCACGCATGCCCGACAGCGCTGACTCTGTTCTTCCCCACCCACAGCCACTCCTTAAGGTAGTTTTCCCCTGCCCCCGTGACAATCAGCTGTTCCCATGATCAGCTGTGCCGGGATTTCCCTCACTGTCTTACTGCTTCACCCAGGAGGCTACCCTGAGCCCAGGAAGGCAGAAAATGAAGGGGTGGGGGGGTACAACAACCCCTCCCCCTTCATTTTTTGCCTTCCCGAGCCCCGGGGAAGCCTAATGGGAGCAAAAACGCCCCCCAGGAGGCTTCCCTGAGGCCCAGAAGGCCTGAATATGGAGTGCAAGAGGATGTTCCGTGCCCCCTCAGGCTCCATTTTTTGCCTTCCCGGGCCCCAGGGAAGCCTTCTGGGAGCAAAAACGCCCCTCAGGAGGCTTCCCTGAGGCCCAGAAGGCCCAAAAATGGGGGAGGGGGGGTTGCTGCCAAAAAAACGCCACACCCACCCAGTCACACGGCCACAGCCACCTAGCCGCACTCACAGAACTGGTTGTTACAAAATTTGAATCCCACCCCTGGTTGGAAGGGACCTTAGCGGTCTTCTAGTTCAACTCCCCTGCTTGGGCAGGAAATCCCGAAGTGCCAAACCGTTTCAGATGGGCTTGATGCACGAAGGCGACGGTCGGAGCGGCGAGGTTTACAATGTTTCTTCTCCTTGTCTCTCAATCATGAAGGGGCAGCCATGTTCATGTGGGTGTAAGAGTACCTGGAAAGGGACGCTCTCGTGGTCTTTCCTTCCTCGTCCTCTCCCACCTCTGCCCGGGCGGCTGGAAGGCGTGGCTTGGTGCAGCAAGTGAAGGTCGCGAGGAAACCCAAGCGGAAACGTTTGTTCATGAAGCAATAGACAATGGGGTTCACGCAGGCGGAGGTGTAGGAGAGCAAATGGATGAACGAGATGGGAGCTCCTGAGAGCAGGAGTTGAGCCGAAGTGGAGTCAAAGGCCCTCCAGGTGTTGACGCTGAAGATGGGCGTCCAACAGATGAAGAACAGGATCACAATCACAATCAACATTCGGATCACTAGCTTCTTAGCCATCAGGTTGGCTGAGGAGGAGCTGCTCCTTGGACGCTCAATCTTCTGGCTGTTGCTGCAGGAGCTGAGGGACGAAAGTTGGCGGAGCGGTAGCTGCTGCCGCTGCTGCTGCTTCTTGTTCTTCTTCAGATAGCAACCATCCCCATCTTCGTACCTGCCGCTGCTGCTCTCGCTAGCTTTCCTTTCTGCACATGGAAGGCAGGATCAAGGACATCAACCACGCCTTAGCATTCCAGACAATTTGGCCTCTTGGCTTCCGACCCCGACCCTTCCTTTGGACTCTCCCCTTTTCTCCTTCACAACTGGGGGTTTCTCATAAATGTCATTCTCTTGGGATAAACTTAAACTTTATTTTATTTTGACTTATCTGCATTTCCCCTCCCCCCCACTCTTTATTCTGACAAATAAGTCAAGGTGGCCAAGATACACAATACTCCTCCCTCCTCCTGGTTTCCCCACCACAATAATCCTGAGAGGTTATTTGGGCCGAGAGAGAGAGAGAGAGAGAGAGAGAGAGAGAGAGAGAGAGAGAGAGA